GTATGTGCTGCCAACAATAAGCAATAATAATAATAACTTTAGTACTGCTACACGACTTCATATTAATAGCTACGGCTGCAAACAATTTTTAAAGTACATAGATAATTAAAGGCTAAGTAGGGCCAAAACATGGTTCAGCTTGGAGATTTCTGATTTGTATGGAAACAACGCTTGATGAAATTATTTATGAAAGCTGTTTTAAAGAGGCAACCCGTTCAAAATAATATATAGTTAGAGCAGAACTTAAGGAGAAATAAATAAACTTTTTTAAAACTAAGTTGTACTTAAAAGGGAAAACAATGGCTTCTTTAGAAGCCACCAAATCTAAAAAAAGTCTATACCAACAGATAGCAAACACGATTAGTCTAATAATAAACAACTGAATATCTGACCCGAAGAACCACCACACCCCGCGGTTGGTGCGCTGTGTACCCATCATATAAGTGATTTCACATTATTTAATATGCAATGTAACTGTTCCCAGCTCTACACTACATAGAACTTCATAGCCCTACATAGCCCTACATAGCCGTACATAGCACTTCATAGCCCAATATACCCCTTCTTAGCTCTACATAGCAATAATGGCCGTACATAGCCCTACATGTACATTGCCCTACATCGCCTAATATCCGTACTTAGGAAAATCCAAGTAGTGGTCTATTATCAATGCTGCGTTCTGATTGGTTGAGCTACTGCTAGGCTATATGTTATAGCCCACTAGTAGCGAAAAGTGCCGGCAATTTGGTGGGCAAAAATGATTAAAGTGTAGCTTTAGCTAGCTAAAGTTGTTTCGTCTCAATATTTTTGACCAACTAGTTGGATTTTACTAAAACAATTATTCCTCTCCCCCTCATGGCCTCTGAGTCAATAGCAAATTCGGCCTTCGGCCTCAAATAGCCTTAAATAGCCCTAAATAAACCTGCATAGCCTTACATAGACATTGCCGTACATAGCCCTACGTAGCCCTTCATAGCCGCACATAACCGTGCATAGCCGTGCAGAGCGGTACATCGCCCTACACAGCCGTTTATAGCCACGCTAAGCCGTACATAAGCTCTACATAGCCTTAAACAACCGTACCATGCCGTGCATAGCTATACATGGACGTACATAGCCGTACATAGCCGTACGTAGCTGTACATAAGCTCTACATAGCCTTACATAGCCTTACATAGCCCTGCATAGCCGCCGTACGTAGCAGTGAATAACGCTACATAGCCGTGCATAGCTGTGCATAGCCTTACATAAGCTCCACATAGCCTTACAGGGCCGTACCATGCCCTGCATAGCCATGTATGGCCGTATATAGCCACGCATAGCCGTTCGTAAGCCCTGCATAGCCCTACATAGCCGTACATAACCTTGCATAGCCGTGCAGAGCAGTACATCGCCGTACGCAGCCGTTCGTACCGACGCTTAGCCGTACATAAGCTCTACATAGCCTTGCATAGCCTTAAATAACCGTACCATGCCGTGCATAGCCATACATGGCCGAACATAGCCGTACATAACCGTACATAACCGCGCATAGCCGTGCAAAGCCGTGCATGGCCGTATATAAGCTCTACATCGCGTTACACAGCCGTACCATGCCGTGCATAGCCAAGCATGGCCGTAGATATCCGTGCATAGCCATGCATGGCTTTACATAGCAGTGCAGAACCGTATATAAGCCCTAAATAGCCTTTCATAGCCGTACATAGTCTTGCATAGCCGTACCATGCCGTTCATAACCGTACATAAGCTCTCCCTAGCTTTATAGTCGTTCCATAGCGTGCACGGCCATGTATGGCCGTACATAGCCGTACGTGCTGTCCATAAGCCCTACATAGCCCTGCATAGCCGTGCATCAGGGGCACCCAACGTCAATGTTCGGAAAATATCTGTTCGGAAAACGATTTGAGATCTAGAATTTTCGGAACATTTATTGTAAAATTCCTTGCTTTCCTTCCTCTCCTAGGATGTTCGAACATCTACAAAATGGTATAATTGCCAATTTTTAACGGATTTTTACCCTCAAAAGGTCACCCAGAATTTTCGGGAGCCTTTTTTTTGGCTGAAAGTTTCGAAAAGGTAAGTTTTAATCCCTAAGATTTTCGGATCACTAGACTTACAGCTAAGAAATCTGAACAGATGAAAAATTTTTAGGGGATAAAAATATGCCTATATCTACCGTTTAAATACTAAAATCCGTTTAACAATGCTATGCTTAAGTGTTTTTGAACTATATTCTCGTTGGGTGGCCCTGGTGCATAGCCGTAGTTAGCCGTGCATGGTTATGCATAGCCGTGCATAGCCCTACATAAGCTCCACATATCCTTACAAGGCCGTACCATGCCCTGCATAGCCATGTTTGGCCGCACATAGCCTTGCATAGCCATGCATGGCCGTATATAGCCATGCATAGCCGTACATAAGCCCTACATAGCCCTACATAACCGTGCATAGCCGTGTAGAGCGCACATCGCCGTGCATAGCCGTTCATAGCCACGCTTGACCGTACATAAGCTCTACATGGCCCCTACATAGCCTTAAACAACCGTACCGTGCCGTGCAGAGCCATGCATGGCCGTACATAGCCGTACATAACCATGCATAGCCGTGCAAAGCTGTGCATAGCCCAACATAGCCGAACAAAACCATGCATAGCCGTAAACAGCCGTATATAGCCGTACATAAAATCTACATAGCCTCACACAGCCGTACCATGCCGTGCATAGCCATGCATGGCCGTACATAGCCGCGCATTGCCGTACATAGCTGCGCATAGCCGTTCATAGCCGTGCATAGCCGCACATAGCCGACCATAGCCGTACATAGCCACGCACAGCCATATGTAGCTGTGGATGGCCGCACATATCCGTACATAGCCGCGCACAGCCATATGTAGCTGTGGATAGCCGTGCATATCCGTACATAGCTGCGCACAGCCATACATAGCTGTGGATAGCCGCGCATGGCCGTGCATAGCCTCGCATAGCAGCACATAGCCGTACATAACCGCGTATTGCCGTACATAGTCGTGCATAGCCGCACATAGACGTACATAGCCGCGCATAGCCGTCCATAGCCGTACATAGCCGCGCACAGCCATACATAGCTGTGGATAGCCGTACATAGCCGTGCATGGCTGTGCATAGCCGCGCATGGCCTTACACAGCCGTGCATAGCCTCGCATAGCAGTACATAGTAGTACATAACCGCGCATTACCGTAAATTTCCGTGCATATATAGCCGCACATAGACGTACATAGCCGCGTATAGCCGTACATAGCCGCGCATGGCCGTGCATAGCCTTACACAGCCTTGCACAGCCGTGCATAGCCGTACATAGCTGTTGATAGCCCTACATTTCCGTACTTACCCATACAGGGCCGTACATGTCCGTACAAAGCCGTGCATAGCCGTACATAGCCGTGGATAGCCGTACATAGCCGTACATAGCCGTACATAACCGTGCGTAGCCGTGGAAAACCGTGCATAGCCCTACATAGCCAAACAAAACCGTGCATAGCCGCGCATAGCCGTACATAGCGCTGCATAGCCATACAGAGCCGTACGTAGCCCTAGGTAGCCCTGCACACCCGCGCATAGCTGTTCATGGCCGTACATAGCTGTAGATATTCATACATAGTGAAAGTAGGGTTTATACGTCGGGTCGCGTCGTTAAGACTTATGTTAGTTCCGTTTACATGAAATAAAAGTGACAGTAAGTATAATAATGAAGCGGAGAAAAACTAGTGAACATTTCGTTAGTCTTATCAATTTAATTATTCTTATAATTATTAACTTTCAATTAAGTATCGAAAGAAGTTCTCTTGTATTTAATGTACAGTCATCAATTTTTTCTTACACGGCGCCCATGTTATCCCTGAAGATGTCAAAAAGCTTTTGCACCCCTTGCCTCTCTCTCAAGTTGCTGACTGCGAGACAACGCGCGCTGTCGGCAAGGTTACTCTTTAGCGATATGTACACGCGTGTAAAAAGTCGCCTCTGCCTCCGTCCATTCCCGTGCAAAGAATGCTAGTAATTAGTTTTTAACGAGTTTTCTAAAAGTTTGGATAATGTGTTAGCTTTTCTTTCTACAGCACAGTGTTCATTCCTTCTGCTGTCACGTGTTACCATTTGTGAGCGCGTCATTAAAGAAACACAAGGCTTGGGCAGTTTTGGTCGGATTTGTCAGACGACCGAAAACGATGTTTTATATTAACAAATAAAATGTAAAACTCTTGTGATTTTAGTCATGGAAAAAATTGTATAGTAAAAAGTGAAAATTATTTTTATCTGACAGCCTGTTTAGTGCTGGCACTGCAAAATGCAGCTGAAATGAGTTCGCTTCAGAATGACGCATGCTGGCAGAAAAAAGCGCCATTTGCTCAAGAATAAAAGTTTGCACGGCTATCTGCAGG